TATAGATATTATAATGACAAAGAAGTTAATATTTTTAAAAGAATTTGTGCAAGAGAATCATTTGAAAATTATATTTAATTTTTATGTAAATTTTGGCCAAGTTGAAAAATTAGGTGATTAAGTTGGTTACTTTTCAGCTCAAGTAAGCACACACAAAAGAGAGAAAGTAAGCACAACACAAAGCACTTTTACATGGTTCAGTTAAAATAACCCACAACCAATCAACTCCATGCCTAGCCATCCACAACCAACTAGGACTCCACTAAAACCACCGAGATTACAACAACATTATCTTCCTGACATAGGAAGAGACAATCTCACACGATAGTGAGAACCTCATAATAAGTTTATAATTAAGTAAGAAACAAAATAAAAAAATAAATGCAAATCTCACTATAACAAGGAATAACAAGGAATGTAGTTCTCAGGAACAATAAGAAACAATATCCAACAAATTTGATAACACACAATATAATTTCTTTTGATTATGCCCTTTAATAATCAATTCAAATGTAACCACAAACTAAAATTGCAAGCAATCTAATCTAATAGGTGAGTTTCACAGAAGTATATGAAAAATTCAAACATAAGTTAGCAATGCATGAGCAATAACTTAAGATATTTTGAATCAACACAAGAATGATGCAAATAGTAAGAGATCACAAGTAAGACTCAACTAAACTTTGATTTACCATATAAAGGATATTATGATAAAATATCAAACTAACATTAATGGAATTATAATTTGAATCAAAGATAAAAGGACTTCACAATCTTGCACAAGATTGAAAGAATTAAAACATGACAATTAGAAAGAACTCACCAAATTGCCTTCTTGAAGTATGGAGAAGAGTGAGAGAGCAAGTAAGACACTTTAGCAAGAATGAGAGTCTTGAAACCCACAGCCAAGGAAAGAAAAATTATTTGTCATTTTGAGAATTTTTTTTGGCAACTTTCATTAATGTGAGAGCACGAGGTAAGAAAAACACCTGCTAAGCTTACCTCCCATATTTATAAAGAGAATTTCATCATGGGCATGGGAAAATTGGGGAAAAACATTTCAGGCAATAATTTGAAATTGAAAGGAGATTTGGAATAAATTAAATCAGCCTCCAAAACAAGCATGTGGTCCGCCAAGGAAAAATAGGAAGGAGCCATGCAATTCTTAGCCTCAATAATTTGAATTTGAATTTGAATGTTGAAAAATTTGATCAAGAGAGGGAAAGGGTTGATACACAATATTTGATTTAATTTGTAGCCATTATATTATGGTTCAATCCAAGGGGATGTCAATAGCCAATAGAAAATTTATAAAATTAAAATAATTCTAAGTATAAGCAAATTTTGGCCACACAGTTTCCAAATAAAGACTAAGTGAATTTGACAAGGATTAATCGAGTGATTTAAAGCATGGGGCAGCTGAGAGAGGGGTTAATTTTGATCTATTAGGTTTTGTTTTAATTTATTATCCATGTTATCAGTAGATTAGCCAATAGGATTAAGTCTTATGGATTAGACAATTTAAGATAATTTATTGTATTAATTAATTTAACCTAAATATTAATTTATTTGAATTTAACCTATATTAATTTAGTCTTAATTGATTTAAATATGATCTGCATTAATTTTAGTGATATAAGTGATGGTATATAATTAAAAATATTTTTGTTTTGATTAATTTTATTAGTTAGTTAAGATAATTTAATAATATTAATAATTTATTAGATAAAAAGATTAAAATATTAAAATTTAGTATCCAAAATTTTTAAATGAATTTAATTTATTTTTATAAATATATTATTCAATTAAAATAAAAAAATTGATAATAATGGTCTTGATAAAAAAGTTATGGTCAAATTATCATTTTGAATTAAAAAAAACATAATTTGAATAATATTGGAAATTCAATTTTAGTTTAATTTATATGGCCAAATTAAATCATGTAGAATGGTGTGCAATGATGAAATGTGTGTCCGTGAATGATAATTGAATATTATATCAAGTTAGATGTAAGTTCATAAGTAAAAAATGCAATAATGATTAGGGTTTTAAAATTATTGCTAAAAATGATAATGTATAAATTTAAATAATTATGAATTAATTTTAAGAGATCCATGCACATAAGTTTAGCAAATTTATTTATATGTGAGATATTTCATTTGAGGTATCGAGCTTTAGAAAATAAATATCCAAGTCTTCAATCTTCAAGTCTTAAACCAATGTAAGTCCAGCTTGGTGATTTTGTTTCTTGAGATGCACTTAATGTAAACCATTTGTCACATCCAACACAACCTTTGTTATCATCAAAATCCAATGACACCATACACCATGGCTCATGGGACTAACAATTTATAGAGTCATGGGGGCTGCAAGGAAGGCCACATAAAAAAAGTAAAAAAAAAAAAGGTACACTGCTCCATCATCTGTGTATACAACACTACATTATGCTATAGACATGTATCATTCTCTTATAAAGTAAGGAATATTTGATGTCAGGTTTTTGCCTTTGGTAGAGTGAGGTGGCACTGAGTGTGCATTAGGTAAATTTAGGGGAGGACAAGCCCCCATGGCGTTGGTTGATCCTGCTAGTCGGTATAGAATCGAGAAGGATTTGGTGACATGGCACTAACTTTGAGTTGGTAGGAGACTATAATAAAACTTGAGTTAATGTCAGGGAACGAGCAAGTGATATGAGGTAGTCTAGGGATCGAGTGGTGGTAGATGTTGATAGGATGAGCCGAGAACTCTATATTTGTACTTTCCTATAGTTGAGCTTGGATGAAGAGATGTTCACTCTTAAAAGGAGCAAGTGGATGATAGTAGGATAGGATACGTATTTGGTGGACACCAAGCTCCTGGCTTGATGGGGAACCTTCAAGTTGCCCCATGCAAGACAAATGTCCTATAAACCTAGGCACATCATGTTTGCTGGTGGGTTAAGCCCTCTTGTGGGACCACTTAGAGGGCGAGTTCCTCCGTCATGATTTATTGGATACCTATTAAATACATGTGAAGGTATATATGAGTATACAATTATGTTTAGCATCTGCTTGTGTGAAACTTTTTAAACTGATCCAAAAGAGCCATAATTTACGGCAACTAAGAAAATATTTTTATATTTGATATGTACGTTGACTTTGGGCATTTAATATTCCAAGGAATAGTACTTTTGATCTTATAAGATATTCAAACTTAGATTTCATATGAAGTATGGAAAATAGGAATAGTATTTTAGTGACATGTCAATGCATAAGACATTCATTAGTTTTATGGTTCGAGGACATGAAAATTCAATAAATAGGGGTTGGCAACTATGGTTATATTTTATTTTATTTTTTATTTCATATGTATGATTATTTATCAATGGTTTTATATTTGTGCCTCATTATATATTAATTATCATTCACTTAAATTTGCTAAATATTTTAAAATATTTTGAGATAGCATAAATTATGAAGAGTCCAATAAATTTCAAGAATGTAAACACAATAGAAATATATGTGGCATCATTAAAAATGAGGAGTTTATTGACCCCATAAGCCTATAGTATGAATAATATATTTCAATGATCACAATTAACAATTATAAATTGGTTAACTTGTCTTTTTATTGACCTATTTTTGATTGCAAGTGTTTAGTACAAATATTGCAAGCACACACTAGAAAAGGATTTATGATGTCAAGTATCTAAAAGAAGACATACATGGCTTGAAGAATGTTCATAGCTTATGTTAGTAAATCAAGCCATACTTATTGATGTGGTAGAACATGTACATCAAAAAAGAAAAGTTACCAAGAACTAGAGGACAAATCTAGAATGTGTCTGCTTACAAAAAAAAGGACTAAGTAAGAAGTCTATGAATACTTTTATTTGTTATTTATATTTCTTATGTGCATTAATATTATAATAGACCATGTGTATGATATTTTTCTTTATGGTTATAATTAAATTTTAAAATATGAAATTCACAATTTAAATTTTTTTAAAAAAATTGAATTTTGGATATGAAATTTTGGAAGGATGACAAGGTGGTAATATTAGATTGAACTTAAATAGAATTGAAGGTTCAAAGATGAAAACATATCAATTTCCAAGTAGTTATGGCTGACCTCATCATTTATATAGTTGGTTACACTTTTCCAAAAGGTGTATAACTACTCCTTTGCACCTTTTTAAACGGGCCAGCCATAACTCCTCCTTCCAATTGATTTTATTTTAATTCCAAGCATTATAAAATATTTATAAATATTGTGAAATGAATAATGAAAAGAGGTTGTAGTAGTTGAGTTTGTGAAAATTAGAGTTCCATTCATGAGGGGAGGCTTAGTGTTCGACCTTCACACGGGGAGGTTTGGTAATTTCCTCAATTTTATTACTCTTTCAAGGATGAGAATGACGAGTGGAGATTAAGACATATTTGTATCTCTAAGGATGAGAGTGGGGGCCACGGGTATTATGATTTAATTAAAATTTTATTTCTATTAAGTCTGACAAGCGAGCACTAGCTCTCAGTGCCCACACTACGTCATTGCCCATGTATATAATATAGTGTGGTATGGACTACATAAACATGAGAATGATATGATTTATTGATATTGAGAGCATACATTTCGCTTTATTTTCATGTGATTGAGTTTTATAGCAAGTTACTTCCAATATATATTATTGATTTTAGGTAAGAATAAGGGCCAATTGATAAGGTGATCATACTTGATGAAAATATATTTTTTATAATGCTTAAGGTCTTATCTTAGAAATTTGATGTTGCACATTACTTCTTTTGTATTACAAATTTGCAATATTTGTAAAATTATGGATATAAATGCAATTCAATAATTATAATAAATGCTTAAAATTGGGGAAGCCAATCCGTGAAATGGGCGGAGTCGCTGTCGCACGGAAACAACATTGCAAATCTCTACCTTTGATTCCAAAGGGATGAGTGCTTTCGATCACCGTCGATTATTTGGCTTTGTAGCCTTCTCCGGCCATTTTTTACCATAAGTTTCGATTAAAAGGGCAGTTTCTGCTTCCGTTCCCCGGTCTTTGTCGGTCTCCCTTACGCGCACTCGCTCTCTCTCTCTTTCTGTATGTAGAAGTGAGAAATTTGAAGAAAAATATGCAAGGGGGAGAGGACGTGAGCATCGAAGAGCTCGCTTCGAATCTCTCCACGTATAAGGAGCAGCTCAATGAGGTTCTATTATCTCTCTAACCCTAGTTCATGCGTCGGCGATTCATTTTTTGTTGCAAAGTTACAGATGTTTCTTGGATTTGATTATTCTACAGTTATTTTGATTCCCAAACTTTTTTTTGTCTTTTAGGGTCTTTTTTGGGTTTTTCGGCGCTCGTATCGGTTTGAGGCTATTTCACACATTTATGATATGTTTAATTTGAGAACCTGAAATTTTTATTTTTTTCATGATTTATCAACTTTAATTTTAACTTGGTATGCATCAAGCTGGAATCTTGGAATTGTGATGGTGATGGTTGAGGTGACCGATGAAGGTGTGGCAATAGAGTTTTCAGTGGTGGAGCATCCTTGACGAACTGCAGATTTCATGCTGCAAAATGAAAATATTTGAAAACATGGGAATTAAATAACGAGTTAGGATGCTAAATACTACATGTTAATGCACTCATGCTTGCACGTACGTAATACGAAACTAGGTACTAATAAACGAGTCTAGCTTAGATGCCACTAGTTAGGGAAAACTTGACCAACTCACACTAAATATGCAGAACTTGAAGCAAATCCACTTGAACTATGATTCGTTATAGCATGCTAAGCAATACATCCTTAGCAGAACTTTGAAATTTGATGAAAGAAGAACCCTTTTTCTATGTCTCCTTTGCCCACTCTACTTTGTGACATCTTTGCCAATCTCAACAGGCAACCCCAATTGTCCCTAACCGCAATCTACTTCTTCATGTCTTTGACTCCTTATGCAGATAACCTGCTCATCTTGTAGTGGTCCTCTTGCTCTGTTACTTTCTCTTTTTTGGCTTTCTTTTTAGTTTGTTTCTCTTTGTGCCAGCTTATGCCTTGTTATCATATTTGATAGATTTAATTCAAGATCATTTTTTTAGGGACATTTAGGTCAATTTATTGAGAGGTTTGATAGAGATGTATAGAGAGAATCAAGGAGGATCTTCATATGATATTTATTGATTGAGAGAAAGCGCATGATAAAGTTCCAAGAGAAGTGCTATGGAGAGTTCTAGAAAAGAAAGAGATTAATAATGCCTATATTCAAGTCATTAAAGATATGTATGCATGAGCTATTACTTGTGTTCAAACACAAGGTGGTTTGACCAAGTATTTTCCTATTTCTGTTGGATACATCAAGGACCAGTCTTAAGTCCATATATATTTGCTTTAGTCATGGATGTTCCTACTAGACATTCGCTAGAGGTTGTACCCTGGTGTATGCTTTTTGCTGATAATATTCCTCTTGTTGATAAGACTAAAGAGGGATTTGAAGGTAAACTTGAATTATGGAAGCCAACCTTAGAGTCTAAAGGTTTTCATTTGAGTAGATCTAAAACCGAATATATGGAGTGTAATTTTTGTAATAGATCTAATGAGGGATTATGATTTTGGGTGATCAAGTTATTAATAATAGTACATATTTTAGATATTTTGGGTCTATTGTTTAGAGTGATGGTGAAATAGATGGGTATATTATTAGTAGAATTCAAGGTTGATGGTTGAAGTGGAGGAATACATCGGGCTTGTTGTGTGATTGAAAAGTCCCTCTCAAACTTAAGGGAAAATTCTATAAGATGGTGGTGAGACGTGCAATGCTTTATGGTGCAAAATGTTGGCCATTAAGAGAAACATAATATTTAGTGAAGTGTTGCAGAGATGATGATGCTCAGGTGGATGAGTGATTTTAATCTTAGTGATAATATAAAAAATGAGCATATACATAAAAAGGTTGGAGTAGCTCCAATGAAAGATAAGATTAGAGAGAGTCGTCTTAGATGGTTTGGTAACATAAAAGGATGGCCTTTCGATAACTTGGTCTGGAAAGTAGATGCATTAGATTTGGATGTTAAGAAAGGTAGAGGTAGACATAAAAAGACTTGGTTAGAAAATATTAGAAATAACATTTCTTTATTAGATTTAAATGAGAATTTGACTATTAACATGACCCAATGGAGAAAAATGATTTATGTGGCCGACCCCATTGAGTGGGATAAAAGCTTGATGATGTTGTTGTTAAGACATTTAGGCCAATTAAAGCAAATTCAGACACACATAACATACGTAAGCTTCAAATCCAAGACATCTTGATTTGTAGCCAAACCTCCCAACCAACATATCAAGATGAGCTATGTAATTCAAGATCATTCATGTCATTATTTATCACTTTCCATTAACTTGTTAGACATCAAGTTGGAATCTTGGAATTGTTTTGGTGGTGCTGCCCAATTAAGGTGTGGATTATAGAGTTTTTAGGAGGTGGACCATCCTTGGTGAATGACTGTGAAAATGGTGCAAAGAGGAACAAGTAAATATGAAAATCTACAATTATAACGAGTTAAAGAATCTGAAAACTATCTATCGGTGAATTTAAATAAAATTTGTCTTTATTACATTGATCTATCGTCTTAGTATCTATTTATGCTCAACTATTTTTGCCCTTGGCTAGAGCCATCTATTATGAACTGCTGAATTCATCTGCATTGCTTGCAATCTTTATAATGGCTCTTATTAATTTAACCTAGAATATGTGCATTTCAACATCTACATTCAACAGAAAGCTGAACAAATAAATTTATTTTGTGCAAATTTTGTCTTTCTGAAGTCATTTGGAATTAGTACCGAGTAACATGTTTAGTATTGAACAAATTATTATCTTTGTTGTCCTAAAAATGCTATTTATGAATTTTCAACTATAGTCTGTGTGCCATTTCTTTTTTTTTGGCAATGAACTGTATTCTGTGGCTTGCTCTTCAATTAGTATATATTCTTTTTTGTATGAGTAATTTTTTTTATTGACCGGTTATTCCATATGAATTTTTCTTTTTCTTATTAGTATTACCTTATTCTCATTGAAGCAGCAGGGAGATCAAGTTATAGATTGCTAAATATAGGATGTATTCACCCCTTTGTTTTCCTAGCTAGCAATGAAGCCTATTTTCTGTGCTAACTTCCATCCAGATTCCTGCACGTCCAAAAATAAAAATAAAAAAATGATAGCAACTTTGGCCCATGGCTCAAAAGTTCATGCATTGGTTACTACAAATATTGTGATATGATTATTTCTATCTTGTTTGTAAGAAAAATTAAGATTGAATGATGAAGTTATACATGAAAAATGTTCAAAAGTTATTGGCTCTTTTGCATTTATTTTCTGTGCAGTAGATGCCCTTTTAGAGTATCCCATAAACTCTTATGTTAGTACAACACAATGTGCTATCATCATATTGTAATGGTATCATTTTTACAAATTTCTCAATTGAGAATTCTCATCAGTATTATGTGAACAATATTACTTGTTATCAATAATGCTTATAATGTTTCTTAGTTAAACACCATTTGTAGTTTTTTTTTGGCTAGCTTTTATAAATGTCTTTTCTACTTAGTTGTACATAATCTGATATTTGGATAAGCTGATATCATTTGACTTTATGATTTCCTAGTATTTTCAAAGTGATTTTGCTTGAGATTCTTGTTAACTTTGAGAAATATTTAATAAGAACGTGTTTGCTGTACATCTAGAAAATAAATATCAGAAAATCACAGATCCTTTCTTCATGCTTCCTAGATTTTCTTCTTGATATTGATGAGGGTGGGGATAAACCATATAAACTTTTTTCCCATTGTATATTTGGCATTAGGTAGTGAAACTTTTAATATGAGGTGAATTCTTACCAGCATGATTTTTCGGGGATCTTCAGCGCTTGTTTATATGATTAATATATTGAAGGGAGATCCCTATCATTTTATATCTGAGGGAAATAATAACAAAATGTGGTGGAATAATAACGCATTAATGGAAACAAAATGTTTGAGGCCAACATGGAATTGTAGATAGGCAGAGCTTGTAGCTATGGAGGAACCATCTACAGCTCTTCTACCATTGTGTGGAGGATAGTATAGGAGAGCGTAGTAATGGTTGAGGTACCATATGCTGCTTTAAATCATCTACTTTAAGTACACAATTATACTCGTCATGTCGGATAAAAACACATTTTTGTATTATGTCTTTATGAACTTTGGTTGATGCTTGGGTGTGGAGGTTGTTGGGCAAACGAGGTAGGAATTTTGTATTGTAGGCATGATTTGATTCCAGAACAGAAGCACTCATCTACCCCTACCTTGCATTGTGATGCAACCTGTTTGTCAATCAAAGCTTCGAAAAGAAAGATATAGGTCGAATGGGAGCTGTAGAGAGAAGAAGAAGATAGAAGTCCGAGACGAAGTTTTAGAAGATAGGGAGATAGAGGAAAATAGCTTGCATGCTATATAAACCTGCAGGTTTTCACTTTTCAAAAATTCTTCACAATTCACACCTTACAACTTCAATTAAAAGACACAACACCTTACAACTTCAAATAATAAAAACACAACTTCATACAACTAATCAACTTTGAGAAGAAATATACAGGTGGAATGAGAACCGTGGAGAGAAGAAGAAAATAGAAGTCCAAGATGAAGTTTTAGAAGATAGGGAGGTAGAGGAAAATAACTCGCAAGCTATATAAACCCGCAGGTTTCACTTTTCAAATATTTTTTACAATCTCTCTCTTTCCATAAAGAAATCAACGACCTTATATAGAAAAAGAAGGGTAAAGAATATTGAATGCTCGCTTAAATTTGCCACCCAAACAGTCAATAGAAGCCTTCCAAAACAGCCACAAAACTCTTCCAAATCAGCCCAATTAATTAGGAAATAAAGCATCCAACATACATTTCAGCAAATGGGAAAACCGAGCATCCATCAGTAAAAACAACAAGGAAACCGAAGGGGTAGTTGGGGAAACGAAGAGCCAGGAGGGAAAACCGAAGTCCAGCAGGGGGAAGATCGACAATCAACATGGGAAGACCAAACAACCTCCAAAAACCCCTCCAAATCAGCCCCTACCTTGACTGCATCACATTGTTACTTAAATTTGACTTAAGGGGGCATCCTTTGCTTGGAGGCTTACTTGGTCTTTATCTTTGTGGGCCTCATTCTTAGATTGCATGTGCTGGTAAGTTTATGGATGTTCCATTTAGGTATGATATTGATATGATTTGAAGTATCTTGAAGATGTAACTAAGTATTGGATTGATCACTCCAAAATGGTAGGTTAAAGGGGAGGTAAGACATGCACATATCATACTCTCTTCACCCTCTTCTTTCAATGCAGTATAATATTATTTGACCATAGGCTATTTTTATACATCTGGATCTCAGTTAAGCACATCTCTTGTTGGTTTATTCCAGATTGGAGGTTGAGGCAGGATCTAGGGTTATGTTTCCTAATGCAACTAATATGATACGTAAAATGCTTTCACACAAAGGAAAAAGAAGGATTCATTTATGACAAGTATACAACAAAATAAAACCCTTTGAACTAGTAAAATACAACCCTTCTCGGCCATCATTGTTGGTATGTTCTCAAGTGCAAAGATAACAAAGAAAATGAAACAACTGACATAAAGTAGATAGGTCAAATGCATTGAGATTAATGTTTAATGCAATGCTTCCGACGAGAATAAATGTGAACATTTCCATTAGTAGTATAACACAAAGTGGGGTATCATAATTTTTTTGGAGAGAAATTCATGGCCTTTGGTACTATTTACATTTTAACTCTTAGGTGGAGGAATCCGCATTGTATTTGGCTGACCTTCTTCATCTCATTTAGGAATTTGTTGGTTTCAGGAAGTAAAAGTTCAAGTTCAACCTAATGTTAAGATATCAAATAACGTTAAGTATTGCTGCATTATCTAACTCTTAAATGACAAGTAACATTGTATTTTACTTATAAATTTAAGCAAATTGATGATACTCCATGTTTAAGAACAGTTATATCTTTCTTAAACTGCAAGAGATGATGCAGATACTGGCTTCTTCTTTTCTCCTTTTCTATATTAATTTGTTTCATATAGATTTGGTTATTGTTATAATTGTTAATCTTGGCAATTTTTTTGAATTCTTTTCAATCAGGTGAAAAAACTATTGGCTGATGATCCTGGAAACTTAGAATATGAAGACATGGAGAAGGAGCTTATTGAGGTAAGATGCAAATGGTATTCTTCAGTTTCTCCTTCTGTGCTGTCCGTTGTAAGTTGTTGTATTTGTTTGACATTTGACTTATTTATCCTTCTTGTGGTCAAACAAAGTATTAAAGGGTAGGAAATCTTTAAATGTGTGCAAGTTCAACATATTGGTACCCCCCTCCATTTTCTTCTCTCTCAAGGGGCAATCAGATTCCAGAAAGCGAGACATAAAGATACTCTTATCTAATTTCCATTGATCTTTTTGTCAAATTTAATGTTTTCTTTGTACACTAGAAGGAGAGTGACGTTTTATAGAAAAAAACAGTCCTTATATAAGATAAATTGTAAAACCCAAAAATAACCTTAATGGGTCGTTGCATGCTCTTCAAAGCACCACGACGAGATTTAGGTGAGATTTTCAACGTTAACGGAATTTAACAGAAATAATTTTAGAAAGTTCCTTGCAAAATTCTGATCGTTTTGGTATATAGAACTTATACCCAATTTTGCCTAAAACTAAAAATGGAATTAAAAATGTTTAAAGTCCCTAAATGCCAATTTTACCCCTAGGATTTTCTTCAACAAAAATTACTTGAGGGCTTATTGGACATTTGCAAAAACATTTCCTCTTATTAGACAAAACCGAAACCCTTCTCATTTCACGCGTGAACCGCACGAAACAAGAGGAACGGACGGCTGGTGAGGTGTCTGGCAAGGTGCGGGATCTCCTCTCACGACGATCTTCCCGCGAAACTTTTAGATCAAATCGAAGAGGACGACGAGAGAAACACTCCGGTATGATTATTTCTAAACGAATCCCTCTCGATCTCTAGATTTTTGGAGATAGAAATTCTAGGATTTTTCCTAAAAATGGTTTTCTCCCAAAATTTCTTTAAGAAATTAATAAGGGACATTTAGGAGAGCATGTTAACGGTAGAAAAGATGTTTTTGGAAAAAATTTTGGCGATTTGTAATTAGGGTTTTTCCTAATCTATGATTTTAAGAAAAATCTTTTTACAATTTTTATTCTTTAGGGTATAAGAAATGCTTTAAGGATGAAAATTTTGATATTTTAAGAAAAATTTATTTTTCTTATTTTTCTAAATTATTTAATCCGAAAATTAATTAAGTAATTATTAAATATTGTTTAGGAATAATGTTAGAATAGAGTTTTGAGCAAAATTTAAGATTTAGGGATTTCTAAAATTTAAATTTAAATTAAATCCGAAAATTCATATTAATTTAATTAAATATTCATTAAGTTTTGTATGAAATGATTAAGGGAAAATAAAGATTTAGACTTAAGAATATGATAATTAGTTTTATGACACGTCTCTTTTGTAAATCCTTCTTAGGTAGTGATCATTGAAGGGTGGAGTGGAAGACTTGTGTCGAAGCGACGTGTCGTACTTGGTTTGAGGTAGGTACTCATGTTTTTGATAAAAATTTCATGATTTTTTTCCGTTTTAGTATTTTAATGCAAATTATTGAAAAAGTTTCTTATGACATGAATTCATGACTTTTCATTTTTATGGCAATATGAATATTCAAAACTGTTATTTCATGAATTTAAAAAGCTTCAAAATATGTTGAGATTAAATGTTTTATGTGTTGCATATGATTTTCATACTTGTTTTTCCATGTACATTTGAATGAAAGACTTTATATTAAATGAATGTGCATGTTGATGCGGAGTGTCCAATGGTAAAGGAAGGCTCGTAGAACCAATGGTAAATGTGGCTTGTAAAGCCAATGGTAAAGGAGGCTCGTAGAGCCAATAGTAAAGAAAATGACTAAATTTGACTGGGTACCTGATCAGTACCAAATTATGGGCACATCCGAGACGGGTGTTATAAAACTTTATGCATAATATGGTTCCTATATGTTCTTTTCAAATTATGAAAATATATGTTTAAGGAAAAAGGATAAATGAAAGTTATTGCATCAAGGAAAGAGATTAAGAAAATGTTTCTTTTTATGCATTGATACGAGATTTTATAAGTTTGATGATCCTTCCATGTTTTTATATGAAACTGCTTTATGTTAGTTTTATGTAAATTTTTATTTAAAGACATGAATTTCCTGCTGAGCGCTGGCTCATTCCTCGTTTGGAAATGTTTTTCAGGAGAGAAGTAATGGCTGCACGACGACCTTACACTTATCGTCGTAGGGGACCTCAGGAGGAAGAAAAGTTCCATTTGTTTTTTTGTTTTAAGTCTAAGTTTGAGTTTATATCTGAGTATGAACAGTAAGTGGAGTTTATGTAATGATGTATTGAAAGTTTTTAGTGATCTTGAGGCAATTGAACAATTTGGAACTATCTGAGTTTATTGTTGTTAGTTGCTCTTTCTTATACTGGATGATGATTATGTTGTCTAATTAAAGTTTTTGATTATAACTGTTTATGTTTTATTATAGTTTTTCGTTCGACCTTTTTTTCCCGCCCCGTTAACTAAGGCTAGCCGGGTCGGGTCGTGACAAGAGTGGTATCAGAGCAAAGGGTTTAATACTGATAAATGAAAGAGCCTATATGATGATTGATTGAGTCTTAGAAAGTGTATGAAGTGTATTTTATGAATTATTTTGCCTAGTGATTGATGTGTTTTATCTCAGAAACATGGATCCTGAGCAGAATGCCACTGATGATATTAATATGGAGGAAGGGAGGGAGCTACCAGAGGTAGCAGAACCTCGAAGAAACGACATTATGGAGTCATTCGCGCAGATGATGGAGGCGATGACTCAGATGATTAAGACTTTCCAAAATCAAGGCAGTGGCAGTGGAAGTGGAAGCAGGCCTATGGATAAGAACCTGAAGTTGTTTCAGGATATGAAGCCTCCACTATTTTCAGGTGGCGGACCTATAGAAGCAGAAGACTAACTGATGCAGATTGAGAAGATCCTGGAGGGCATGCCTTGCCCTGATGAAAAGAGGGTGACATTGACTGCTTATGCATTTGATGGCGAGGCTGAGAGGTGGTGGAGGAGTCAGTTAGAAGAAACATTTAGAGGAAGACCAATAAGCCAAGTCTACTGAGAGGAGTTTGTGAAGGTATTCAGAGACTGGTATGTACCTAAGTCAGTCAGGAGACAGATGCAGGACAAGTTCAATAGATTGGTTCAGGGAGACTGATCTGTTTCTCAGTACGAGGCAGAGTTCACGATGTTATCCAGGTATGTCACACACCTGATACCTGATGCTGAAGAGAAGTGCAACCGATTCCTGAATGGATTGAAAGATGTGATTAGATAGCCTCTCATTCCTTTTGGAATTGAGGATTACTCTGTCTTAGTGGAGAGAGCAAGAAGGATAGAAATGGATATGCTGGCAACTCAGAAGAGGAGGGATTTTCATAAGAGAAAGATGGAAGGCATGTCAAAGCCTTCCCAGATGACTCAGTCTTCCCAGTCAGTGGTTTCTACTTGGAAGAAGCCCAGATCCAGTGGTTCTGATAGCAGTACTTAAACTGCTACCTTGTGCAGTAAGTGTGGGAGAATGCATAAGGGAGAGTGCCTCTCAGGCACTAATAATTGTTACTGGTGCCATCAGCCTGGGCACATGGCGAAGTCTTGTCCTCTTTTGGGTCAGTGATCTACTACAGATGTGAGGTCAGGCAATAATGCTCAGAGGATAGCTGGTAGACCAAGAGCTATGGAGTCTACAGCTTCTGTTCCTTCTCAAGGCAGACTCGTCAGGATCTTCAGTCACGAGTCGATGGACTGTCCCAGCAAGAAGCTAAGGGGTCTCCTGATGTGGTTATAGGTGCGTAGTTTAATTAATTGCAATGATTTTTTTTATGAAATTGCAATTGAAATTGAAATGAACAATGAATGAAAATGAAATGAACAAACAATGAATGACATGTTTTGTGAATGAATCATAGTATTTCTTCTATCTGTCCTGCACTGCACTCAATCTATCTATGATTAACCTGATCTTTTATGTAGCATCATCAACCAGATCAGCACTAATTATCTTCCTTTCCCCTGTCTCAGTCCAATTTAAAGGTGTCCTACACCTTCCATACAAAGCCTCATAAGGAGTCATACCAATACTTGCTTGGAAGCTATTATTATAGGCAAATTCAATCAAAGGCACATATGCCTCCCACTTACCACCAAAATCCAGAACACATAATCTGAGCAAATCTTCTAAGGTCTGGATTGTTCTTTCTGACTGCCCATCTGTCTGAGGGTGGAAAGCTGTACTAAAAGTAAGCCTATCTAAGCAATCCCTCATCATCAAACTCAAAATCTTCAATGTGTCCCACACTAACCATATCCAGTATCTTCTTAAAATTTGCATCAAGTGGCAAAGCTTCTCGTACCATTTCTGGAAAGGTTGATATAATTATAGTCTGATTCAATCTTATAATTTCTGCATCATTGAGTTGAACCACTGAAATCTCTAACTTCTCCAAATCCCTTAGCAACTCCTGCTACTGTGTAAACATCCAGTTTGTACTACTTGAATTCTTTCTGCTCAAAGCATTAGCAACCACATTTGCTTTGCCCGGATGATACTGAATGTCTAATTCATAATCCTTAATGAGTTCTAGCCATCTCCTCTGCCTTAGATTCAATTCTTTCTGAGTGAAGATATACTTCAAACTCTGGTGGTCAGTAAAAACTTCACACCGAACTCCGTATAAGTAATGCCTCCAGATTTTCAAGGAAAAAACCGAACTCTGTATAAGTAATGCCTCCAGATTTTCAAGGAAAAAACTACTGCAGCTAACTCCAGATCATGAGTTGGGTAATTCCTCTCATGATTCTTCAATTGCCTAGAAGCATAGGCAATGACTCTCCCATTCTACATCAGTACACAACCCAACCATTTATGTGAGGCATCACTGTATAGCTGAAATCCATCTGTCCCCGAAGGAATAGTCAGCACTGGAGCAGTTATCAAACACTGCTTCAACCTCTGAAAAGCTTCTTCACATTGAGCTGTCCAATCAAACTTCACTGCTTTCTGAGTCAATCTGGATTGTGGCATAACTATCTGTGAAAACTCTCAAGAAACCTTCTATAGTAGCCTGCCAATCCCAAAAAGCTCCTAACCTCAGTCACTGTAACTGGTCTTGGCCAGTCTGCTATTGCTTGCACCTTATGCTGATCCACAGATATCTTCCCATCAGTAATAACATGCCCCAAGAAGTTCACACTCTTCAGCCAAAATTCACACTTGGAAAACTTAGCATACAAGTCATTATCTTTTAAGGTATACGATACTGACCTTAAATGATTTGCATGCATCCTTTCATCTGGGGAGTATACAAGTATGTCATCTATGAATACAATCACGAATAGATTTAAAGAAGGCTTAAAGATTATATTCATGAGATCCATAAATACTGCAGGGGCATTTGTTAAGCCAAAAGGCATCACTGTAAACTCAAAATGCCCGTATCGGGTACTGAAAGCAGTCTTTGCAATGCCCTCCTCTCTAATCCTGAGCTGGTGATACCCTGACCTCAAGTCAATCTTGGAAAACACTGAAGCACCTTCCAACTGATCAACCAAATCATCTATCCTGGGGAGAGGATACTTGTTCTTCACTGTCAACTTGTTTAGCTCTCTGTAATCTATACAAAGTCTCAGGCTTTCATTCTTCTTCTTCACAAACAGTACAGGAGCACCCCAAGGGGAGGTACTAGGTCGGATGAAACCCTTCTCAAGCAACCCTTGCAGTTGCTCCTTCAACTCCTTAAACTCCTTAATCGCCATTCTGTAAGGAGTTTTAGCAACAGGTTCAGCTCCTGCCACTAACTCATAGAGAAATCTATTTCTCTACTAGGAGGTAAACCAGGTAGATCATCTGAAAATACTTCTGAGAATTCCTGAACAATTGGAATATCCTTCAGCTCTCTTTCTTCATTCTTCTCCTCCTTAACATAAGCCAAGAAGCCATCACAACCTTTCTTTAACATCTGAAAGGCCTTCAAGGATGACACAATCACTGCAGTTACTCCTCTATCCCCTTTAAATTTGAACTTCTCTTCTCTTGGCATACATAACTTAACCTTCTTCTTGTTACAATCTATAGTCACAAAATGGCAAGATAACTAATCCATGCCTAAGATTGCATTAAACTCAAACAGAGACAATACAATCAGATCTGCTTCTAAACTCTTATCACAAATCTTCAAATTTACTTGACATTTCTGATTAGCTTCCATATGATTCCCATTAGGCATCAAAACTGATAGAGACTTCAACATAAAGATAGGAAGCAATTTAGCAGATCTAACAAATCCTTCTGAAACAAAGGAGTGTGACGCTCCAGTATCAAACAGAATTCTAACGGGTCTATCACACATAAGGATTGTCCCTAAACATGAAAAGTACACCATTCATTCACAAAACATGCCATTCATTGTTTGTTCATTTCATTTTCATTCATTGTTCATTTCAATTTCAATTGCAATTTCATAAAAAAATTCATTGCAATTAATTAAACTATGCACCTGTAACCACATCAAGAGACCCCTTAGCTTCTTGCTGGGACAGTCCATAGACTCGTGGCTGAACATTCTGATGAGTCTGACCTTCAAATCATGATACTATATCCAATCTAGAAACTTGGTTCTTCCCAGAATTTGTGCTATTTTTTGATGTATATAAATTTAAACCTTGGATCATTCCAATCAAATCACTCTTTTTTCATTTTTCTATAAATGAAAAAAGTAAAAACATTAACGTAAATCTAAAGAAATCATCTAATAAAAAAAAAGATCATGAATTAGGAAATTCCAAGCAGGAAGAGAATGAACAACAGGTCCAAGGAAATCTTGTATGGAATCTACGAAAAATAAAAAAAGAAAATAAAAAAACTGTTGAAGAAGATTACGCCTCCGGGATAAGAGAGACTGTATAGGCCTACCCTCCACAGCTCTAGGTCTACCAGCTGTCCTCTGAGCATTATTGCCTGACCTCACATCTGTAGTAGATCGCTGACCCAAAAGAGGACAAGACTTTGCCATGTGCCCAGGCTGATGGCACCAGTAACAATTATTAGTGCCTGAGAGGCACTCTCCCTTATGCATTCTCCCACACTTACTGCACAAGGTAGCAGTTGAAGTACTGCTATCAGAACCACTGGATCTGGGTTTCTTCCAAGTAGAAACCCTTGGCTGGGAAGACTGAGTCATCTGGAAAGGCTTTGACCTGCCTTCCATCTTTCTCTTATGAAAATCCCTCCTCTTCTGAGTTGCCAGCATATCCATTTCTATCATTCTTGCTCTCTCCACTAAGATAGAGTAATCCTCAATTCCAAAAGGAATGAGAGGCTGTCTAATCACATCTTTCAATTCATTCAGGAATCGATTGCACTTCTCTTCAGCATCAGGTATCAGGTGTGGGGCATACCTGGATAACATCGTGAACTCTGCCTCGTATTGAGAAACAGATCAGTCTCCCTGAACCAATCTGTTGAACTTATCCTGCATCTATCTCCTAGCTGACTTAGGTACATACCAGTCTCTGAATACCTTCACAAACTCCTCCCAGTAGACTTGACTTCTTGGTCTTCCTCCAAATGTTTCTTCTAACTGACTCCTCCATCACCTCTCAGCCTCGCCATCAAATGCATAAGCAGCCAATGTCACCCTCCTTTCCTCAGGGAAAGACATGCCCTCCAGGATCTTCTCAATCCGCATCAGCCAGTCTTCTGCTTCTATAGGTCCGCCACCTGAAAACAGTGAAGGCTTCATATCCTGAAACAACTTCAGGTTCTTATCTATAGGTCTGCTTCCACTTCCACTGCCACTGCCCTGATTTTGGGAAGTCTTAATCACTGAGTCATCGCCTCCATCATCTGCGCGAATGACTCCATAGTGTTGTTTCTTCAAAGTTCTGCTACCTCTGGTAGCTCCCTCCCTTCCTCCATATTAATGTCATCAGTGGCATTCTGCTCAGGATCCATATTCCTGAGATAAAACACATCAATCACTAGGCAAAATAATTCATAAAATACACTTCCTACACTTTCTAAGACTCAATCAATCATCCTATAGGCTCTTTCATTAATCAGTATTAAACCCTTTGCTCTGATACCACTCTTGTCACGACCCGACCCGTCTAACCCGAGTTAACGGGGCGGGAGCAAAAGGTCGAACGGAAAACTATAATAAAACATAAACAGTTCTAATTAAAAACTTTAATTAGACAACATAATCATCATCCAGTATAAGAAAGAGCCACTAACAACAATAAACTCAGATAATTCCAAATTGTTCAATTGTCTCAAAACCACTAAAAACTTTCAACACATCATTACATAAACTCCACTTACTGTTCATACTTAGATACAAACTCAAACTTAGACTTAAAATATAAAAATAAATGAAACATTTTTTCATTCTGAGGTCCCCTACAACGATAAGTGTAAGGTCGTCGTGTAGCCATTACTTCTCTCCTGAAAAACATTTCCAAACAAGGAATGAGTCAACGCTCAGCAGGTAATTCATGTCTTTAAATAAAAATTTACATAAAACTAACATAAATCAGTTTCATATGAAAACATGGAAGGATCATCAAACTTATAAAATCTCGTTTCAATGTATAAAAAGAAATATTTTCTTAACCTCTTTCCTTGATGCAATAACTTTCATTTATCCTTTTTTCTTAAACATATATTTTCATAATTTGAAAAGAACATATAGGAACCATATTATGCATAAAGTTTTATAACACCCGTCTCGGATGTGCCCATAATTTGGTACTGATCAGGTACCCAGTCAAATTTTACCATTTTCTTTACCATTGGCTCTACGAGCCTCCTTTACCATTGACTTTACAAGCCACCTTTATCATTGGCTCTACGAGCCTTCCTTTACCATTGGACACTCCGCATCAACATGCACATTCATTTAATATAAAGTCTTTCATTCAAATGTACATGAAAAAACAAGTATGAAAATCATGTGCAACACATAAAACATTTAATCTCAACATATTTTGAAGCTTTTTAAATTCATGAAATAACAGTCTTGAATATTCATATTGTCATAAAAATGAAAAGTCATGAATTCAGGTCATAAGAAACTTTTTTAAAATACTAGAACAAAACAAAATCATGAAATTTTTATCAAAAACATGAGTACCTACCTCAAACCAAGTACGACACGTCGCTTCGACACAAGTCTTCCACTCCACCCTTCAATGATCACTACCTAAGAAGGATTTACAAAAGAGACGTGTCATAAAACTAATTATCATATTCTTAAGGCTTCGTTTGTTTTTTTTTTGCACTTTTGTAAAAGATAGTTTTAAAAAACATTAGTTCAAAAAATAGAGTTTTCTAATGGAGAAGCATATATAAAAAGCTTTTTCAAAACTGCAGAAAAATGAAAAAAAAGAGTTATTGGGAACGTGATTTGATGAACCAAACAACACAAAAAAAAATTTCTCCGTTTTTGAAAATGGAAAAGGCAAAAAAACGCTCAAACAAACAAAGCCTAAGTCTAAATCTTTATTTTTCCTTAATCATTTCATTCAAAACTTAATGAATATTTAATTAAATTAATCTGAATTTTCGGATTTAATTTAAATTTAAATTTTAGAAATCCCTAAATCTTAAATTTTGCTCAAAATTCTATTCTAACATTATTCCTAAACAATATTTAATAATTATTTAATTAATTTCCGGATTAAATAATTTTGAAAAATAAGAAAAATAAAATTTTCTTAAAATATCAAAATTTTCATCCTTAAAGTATTCTTTATACCCTAAGGAATAAAAATTGTAAAAAGATTTTTCTTAAAATCATAGATTATGAAAAACCCTAATTACAAATCTCCAAAAATTCTTCCAAAAATATTGTTTCTACCGTTAACATGCTCTCCTAAATGTCCCTTATTAATTTCTTAAAGAAATTTTGGGAGAAAACCATTTTTAGGAAAAACCCTAGAATTTTTATCTCCAAAAATCTAGAGATCGAGAGGGATTTGTTTAGAAATAATCATATCGGAGTGTTTCTCTCGTCGTCCTCTTCGATTTGACCTAAAAGTTTCGCCGGAAGATCGTCGTCAGAGCGGATCCCGCACCTTGCCCGACACCTCACCCGCCGTCCGTCCCTCTTGTTTCGTGCGGTTCACGTGTGAAATGAGAAGGAAGGGTTTCGGTTTTGTCTAATAAGAGGAAATGTTTTTGCAAATGTCCAATAAGCCCTTAAGTAATTTTTGTTTAAGAAATCCTAGGGGTAAAATTGGCATTTAGGGACTTTAAACATTTTTTAATTCCATTTTTAGGCAAAATTGGGTATAAGTTCTATATATCAAAACGATCAGAATTTTGCAAGGGATTTTCTAAAATTATTTCTGTTAAATTCTGTTAACGTTGAAAATCTCACTTAAATCTCGTCGTGGCGCTTTGAAGAGCGTGCGACGACCCATTTAGGTTTTTTTCGGGTTTTACAATGGGGACATATGAGCAGTTGTCGTATTAGAAGAAGACAATGTATGGAAAATCATAGGTTTTGATGAGATGGCCGTCACCCTTTATCTTGGTTTCAATGCAGGGATTTGGTGATGGCCTGCTTGCTTGCAAGGATCTGATTCAGATTTGATGCTGCTATTCTAAGTTTGATATTTTGTTATGAGTTTGGGCCTTCATGTCAACTGATGGTTCTGTGTTTGTCTGAGTGAAGTACATTTTAAATGCAGGTTATAGCATTGACAGAGGAACTCTTGGTTACCACAAAGCATGTTGAATATTCTAGGAGTGATACTGAGTTGGATGGATATGCTTCCCCTTCTCAGGGTTCCTCTCAGTTAAAACTGGTAAGTTTTATCATCAAAGCTTACCATATATCTTGAAATGTAAAAATGAGGAAGTTGGCATGAAAGGAAGACTTTTGATCATAACTTTGTCTACTGCATTTTATGTAGCATGAATGTGTAGTATATCTTCCTGTTACTGTAGCTTGAATTCACTTTTAGAGGACAAACGATATTTTGCCTTTGTCTTGATTTCAGCGGTCAAGTGGACGCAGTGAACAAAATACTGAAGAATTTCATAAGTTTTCTGTTGGCACCAAAGTTCAGGCAGTTTGGAGTGAAGATGGGGAGTGGTATGTGGATAAAAAAACGTATTTAAGCATTTTATGAAAATCTTATTGTCAATCTTTTTACCTTTTTTTGTGTTTGATTAGTTAAACGTTCAGGTATGATGCAATTATTGAGGCTTTCACTCCAAATGGATATTTCGTTTCTTATGATGGCTGGGGAAACAAGGAAGAGGTGAGTTTAATGTTATAATGAGTTTTAATTTACGATGGTGTGGATGATGATATCTATTTAGCTTCCAATTTTTTTTTTTCTCACTATTGATGGCCATGTTGAAGCATTTATTGAGGAAAGAGAAGTTGTAGGTGCTTCCATTGCTTACATTGTGCATTAATTAGATGATAAAAGGCATCAGTGTTATGATCAAATGTAAGTCCCAACTAGACTAAATATCATAAACTGCACTTGAGTCCTGGAAGGAATAATTACAATATCTTCAATGTATAAACAACATTTTTTATTTAGGAAAGTTACGCAAATGCCACACTAAACTAACCCAAACGGAATGAACTATTAAACCCGTGTATTTGCATGTGTCACTATCAACTCATTTAGAATTTAATGTAAGTGAAAAAGTTTGGTTTAGATTTTTTTTGCGCTTTTCGAGATTTGGCTGCATTGCAAATGGAGGGAGTTGAGTATTAGTTTTATAAATAGCCCAGTTTTTTTGAAATACATGGGCAAGTTTCCTTTTTAATTATCTCATTTACTTCTTGACTCGTTTAGACATCTCTTATTATTTACAAGTTACTTTGAAGGCATTCTTTTACCGGGTATATTTTTTGCTTTACCGATTCTTTGTTTTCAAACTTAAAATAGTATATTTCAGTAATAGCTTAGAGAGGAAAAGGAGACCTCGATCATACAGACCTATTTATTTTATAATTTTCAGCAGCCTATTAAGGGAAATATTTCATCTTTATCTAAATTATATATATTTTCTGCTCCTCTGTTAATTTTCTTTTTAACTTTGCATGTGAAAGGGCATAAGTATACCATGAAAAAGTATTGACATCAACTTTCTTGGCAATCGTGTCATACATCTAAACATGATTCATGTACTACCATTGTTTAAAATTGAGCAATATGAGCCTCAGCGTAACTCCAACGAAAAATGCCTTGAGGCTTATGCCTTGAGCTTTTTTTATGATGCTTACGCCTTAGCTTGGCTGAGGCCGCCGTACGCCTCAAATGCATTTTGTGTACTACATGTACTCCAATTGTCTTGTCTTCTCATTCAAGTTCCCAAATGTTACAAACTTAGTCTTACTTTTTTATTTAGTCAACCATTATTTCATTTTGTCTCAACTGAGTTAAATTATGATATGTCATGTTTAGTGATGTCCTAAACAATCATTACCTACATTTCACAATAGCTGAGATGCCGAGTTAAGTGTGAGACCTTACTTGAGGGTAAAATCTTTGCCTACTTCCATAGTTGGTGTAGGTTGTAGCACATCACTTGTGGGTACCTAACACTAACAAAAAAAAATTTGGATTCATTTTGTGGATGTTGGTCCAGGTTAATCAGTGGTGGTTGACCTTACATCAACTTTAAATTTTTCTCATCCGTACTTATGACTGGTCATATGGTGGTTTTGAAGTGTTTGTTGTAAGTGCACCATTAAAGTCAACTAGGGAATTCAGAGCACATTGAATTAAAAATAATTCATTTTCTTGTGGCATGTTGGCAAGAGCTATGATGTCCTATGTTTCTTTGTTGGATATCCAATGCTCAATTTCATGTGTTCAAGACAATATCGTTCGTGCTGCATTTCTTCATTTCACAAACTTGATCGCTTTTGGGTGGATATCTATTATTTTGAACTGCCTGGTTATTTTATTTCGGTTTGGTTATTAAGACTTTTTTTAGCAGCTTATTCCTCCTGTAAATGTTTCTGTCTAATAATGTTACACATTTCTTTGGATCCTTCTGAGGGAAATTAATGCACTCGGTTAGGTGGAACCTTATAATGTTAGACCAATTGAGGAGGTCCAAGTAAATGCTTTGCTAGAAGCTGAACTACAGGCTGAAGCTACCAAGCAGGCCATTAAAAGAAAGATTGCACAAGCAGCTGTGATGGACTTCCAGCGGCGTACAATACCTCAAAAATTACGCATTGAGCCAACTGACCCTGAAGATGTGGTATGTATTGCTATTAGAATTCCTCTCAGGTTAATTGGCAGTGAATTTTTTTTGTACATTGGATTTGCACATTTGTTGCTACATTATTTGTCAAAAGTGATGCTAAGCATCTTAATGGCAGACAAGGTTACAATTTAGATGATGCAATCCATGAAAAATCCATGTTGTCTTAGCAATTGTATATTTTGTCAAGTTAATTCAGGGTAACTGAAGGATATTTTATGCCTGTCTTGAGGCATCTCTTTATCATTTGATGAATATATATTTGGCTGGACTCATCGATATATGTATCCGCAATGCATGTTTAAATTTGAAGTTTATCATCCATGGTTGATAATAGTGATCTGCATAAATATTTCATTTTAAAACTTATGCTATTGACGTCTTTTGTTTGTCATCTCTGTGAATCTTTCAAGTTTGATATATGTTAATTTGCAGAAAGCTGCTAAGCGCAAGAAAATTCATGCATTTAAGTCAAAAGCTCGCGTTGAGCAACTCGAGGTTGTGCAGAATAAAAGGCAGAATGCTTGGCAACAATTTCAATCCGCAAAAGGAAAAACTAAAAAGGTAATATTTGAACCTCTCGTGTTGTACTTCAGTTTTTGGTTTATTTGAGTTAACCTATGCTCTTGGCCATGTGAGCCTTTTCTTGTAATTATCATGTTGCAGAAATGATTGTGATGCTTGTCATACGGCTCTCAGAAGTAGTTTTCAGTTGGTATCCTATTACTTGCGAAGTAATTAGTTTGAGCGATCTAGAGTGAGCATGATATAAAATATAAAACACGGAAGTGAAATTTTCAATGGAAAGGCATTGTCCTATTTACTTACCCATACTTTGATTCTATCTATTAATCATGATCATTAACCTTATCCTAATTATTTGGGTTGGCTTTAGGAATCTTTTTTCTCCACCCCTCTACTATAAGTGTTACATGAGCTAAACTAATTTTATGCAATTTTTTCTAACCATGTTATCATTTATGTGCTCCTTACTCTTTCAAATCCTTACGCATTTAATTTTATCAGTCTCATCTTGTTTGTGAATCTTTTTTTCGTTGTTGTACACGTGAAATTATTTTTGTATATTTTTAGTCTTATCTTCAATGGACACTCCTCCATTGTTCCTATTGTATAATCATTTTTAATCTAATCTTTTTAGTTTTGCCACATCAAACTTAATGTTCTCATTTTTATCTTACTCAATTTGTTTATTGATTGTTTTTTATATTTCCCAACACTTAATTCCATTGAACATAACTATCCTAAGATACTTCATTAATTATCTAGTCTTAACTCTTGAGTTCATGTACCTATGCCTGCCCTATTTTTTTCTACGTGATAGATCTAAAGATCCTATGCATTCATATTTTAGTGCCACTTTTTATTTTGAGTAATATCTGTTAATAACCAGTAATAAGATCCTCACTAAAATGGAAGATTATGTACTTGATCTTTGTTATACTAATTTTAAGTTCTTTATCTTCTTAATATTTCATCCATTATTCTAACTTTTTACTTCTTTCAATGAAATTTCACTAACTAGAACTATCATTCGCAAAAATCCTACATCAAGGCACCTCGCTTTTGATTATTTTTTTTTTAAAGTATCTCCACAACCAATACAAAAATATGAACTTAATGCGGGCCCTTAATTTAAATTTAACATGATTGTGAACTTCTTGATCACTTCACAACTATTTCTAATACTATTCAATATATTATCATATACATTTTTAGTAACTGAAATATACATTTGACACATCTTTAATCATTAATAAATACCTAATCAATTGTTTTATGAGCTCAATCATATGCTTTTGTCTGATCAATAAACTCATATGATGATCCTTGTTGTTGGGCTCTTTATTTTTCTCTATTAATTTCCTTAGCACAAAAAATTACTTCAGCTGTGGATCTTTTTTTGGCATAAAATTAAATTGACATTCTTATATCAATATAATTTTTGTATGTTTTTGTTCCATGACACTATCCAACAACTTTACTACTTGGTCATAAGTTCGATGGCCCTCTACTTATCAAAACCTAAACATCTCCTTTGTTTCTAACAGCTAGTACCTTTATACTTTTACCATTATTTTGCATCCTCTTAATTTTTTTTCATTAAAATGATTTATTAATAACTTTAATATCACTGGCAACTCTAGAAATAACAATATGTAGCTAGTTCCATTTGGACTATAAGTTTTATTATTATGCATTTTTTGTAGCTAATTCCACTTTTATTTTTTAATTAATATTTAATATTGCTCATTACTCTATTCATTATGCTCTTTTAGAAAGATTTTTTTCCTTAAAATTCTTCTTTTTTAATTTCTCATATTCTTTTGTCAATGATCTTAGTTTCATCACTTTTAATTTGATCAAGGTCTTTAGATCAAACTTATCTACTTTAACTATTTTACATATTTCTTTTTCTTTTTTTAATACTCTAGATTATTGAATATGTCATCAAAAGTAGAACTTTTACTTTGCTTACTACCCTTTTAGAAGACTAACATATCATCATTTTAAGTTAGTAGTAGTTACTCATTGTCACTCCTTAAATACAAGTGTTTTTCCTTATAATTTTTTCTGCCTTACTCTACGTGAATTCTCTGTATTTATAATCTCTTTCTAGATTTTATTAAACTTTTTGCAACAATCTTTTAATAATATTAGTCATTTTATCTTACTTGAGTTCTCCTTCATTATATCTATGGTAAGGTTATTGATAGGAAATACTTGAGTTCGCAAGTAACCCTAAGGTAATACTTGAGTTCGCAAGCAAACCTAACCAAGATTAGTACGAAAAGAAGAGCAAAACTGCTGTTTACAGCGGAAAAAACAGCAAAAACAGTGGAAATCCGAGAAGAAACTTGTAGAAAATCAAGGCAAACACTTGTATTCCAATAAGAAAGGAAAAGCACTTGCAAGATACAACTTTCCTTCAATTCGAGAGGAAGGAAAAACTCTCCCACTATCTCCGGCAAAGCCAAGAGTCCAAGAACACCACACCCTAGATCTCAAAACTCATCCAAATGCAACATAATCCCCCCTCCTCCTTCTAACCTCCTAATTAACCCTAAAGGAGTTTTACAAAATGTCTAAACAGCCCCTCGCATTCAAAATTTCCCTCCCAAAAATCCTCCCTGGCCCCCGTCGGCTTCGCCGCTTGCGCTCGGTTCCGCCTGTTTCGTGCGGTTCCGCCGCGAGTAGACCCGGACTGGTCCCGGTTGGACCGGTCCAGCCGGCCCCTCCTGGGCCGGCGTAACAGCATCCTCATCTCTGCAACACTTAACTTAATATTATTTTCTTTATTTTTCGCTTAAGTAAAATTTAATAACTAGAAAATGATTAGTACATCAAGAGAAATGGCCAAGAATTACTTGAGGAAAAAAGAAGTACAAGTGACAAGATAGAGATAATTTGATATACTATGATGCGAAGTCATTGATAACATGAAGACTACAAAATAAAGCTCATTTAAATCAACTTGCTTGAAATTCGAAGAAAAAGATGAATAATGTTGATTTTTTTTTCTTATTCTTGCTTTTTTTGGTAAATAGAATAGGAAACCTTCTTTCCATCATAGAGTTAACACTTTGGGTGCTCACATACTGAGTCTTGAAGTTGGTGAACTTCTTGGTCATCATTTTGTTAACATATTACAAAAAGGTGATTTGTTGCAATAATAAATGGAGTGGGATTAATGTTGATATTTGTGGGTGTTGATGTGACCACCATAGTAGAGTTATCAAGTGAAAACTTAAGATTCTTTAAATCCAAAGATGAACCTAAAATAGGGTCCAAGATTCGATTACAAACCTAATCTAATAAAGAAACCTCCATTATGCTATAGGGTTGGATCTGATCATTTGATTTTGCCTTTGCATTAGATTTGAGAGAGCCTTGAAACATTCAGAGAAATTATATCTAAAAGTTTTGCAGGATAAATAATATGCTATGATGCGTTTAAATTCATCATCCCTCAACCAATACCCATAGATCAAAGAGTCGGTTCAATACCCTTTCATTAATTGAGAGGTAATTTTTAGTTCAACTAGACTCTTGGCCATAGGACTTGAAAGATTGGTAGTAGCATTATTCACTTTCAAAGATTTGCCAAATATAAAATCCAGATAATATAAATTGGATTGATTGAAATAATGTAAATAGAATTAGAGAAATACAATCCAAATTGGAGTGATATATGATTTCTCAGAAGAGTAAAAAATAGGGTGACCATTCTGGCATATGCATCAAGAAACCATTAATGTGGTGGGATCCCCGAGAGAAATGTCCAGTGTAGTTTGCTTGTAAAGAGAGTCTAATACTAACATGATGGTGGTCAATGAGCCCAATGGAATGGTCACCAACTAAATGTAAATCAGCCATAAATTTATGAATAATCTCATGGTTATGGTGGTCCATCAAAAATTTTCCAACAATAGAGAAATAGAGAGGTGTAGCAACATCTGATTTCTATTCAGTGACGATGAGAGGAGGTTTGCCCAAGTATGTGGATGGATGCTTATAAGGAATTGACACTGAATCTTAATGAAAAAATAAAGGGAACTTGTTGTTTGGTGAGAAGGAATGAAATCATGGATCTTTTTTCCCTTTAATGTCATTTGTAAACGAGTGAGAGCGGGCAATTGGAGATGACATTTGTAAAGGAATTGAAACAGGAGGATGAACTTCTAGGAAGCAAGATGTCACCAGGATGGAAGGTGATGTCATAGTTGGAGGTTCATCCAAAATCCTAGGAGAAACAAATGTGTAAAAAGGTGGGGTCTAATGAAAAATTTGTGGTAAAGGAGGACAATCCAAATTAGAAGCTGTAATGGTTGTGGTAACAACCTAAGCCAAAGGAATTGAACAAGCATGACACAAAGGTGATAGGAAGAGTGAAAATTGCCAAAAGATAAAACATACATTAGAAGAAAGCAGCATGACTGTCTTTATTGCAAGAAACACCAACATCAAATGCCCTCCGTAAGTCTGAGCGTAGGATGATTTGGACGCCGACACCATGAAACATCGACGTAGGGGCCAAGAAAGCGAGCACAAGTCATACAATAATAGTTTCAAAAAGATCGACCTGGTGACATATAGAGAGCTCAACAACAATGGAAGTTGTGAGTAATAGGGTCATTTCAATTGTGACCAATGGGTGCGATACATGCAAATGACGAATGTGACCTACACGAGAATGATGGTTGTTATGAGATGATTCATAGAGTGCGCATGTTAAGCACAAGTGTAAACAAGGGTGAGCATGGTACGCTTACGAGGGGGCCATTCATAACACTATTTTGTGCCTGAGGTCATAAAAAATTTTAGTTCATGTGGTTTTAACTTTTTTTTTTTCCAAGTTAGAAGTCATCAAGGATGTTGAATTAGATAAATTACATTTATTTTTGAGAATTGATTTGATTTTATATTAGAAAGATCTACTATACAAGTGATTTTTGTGTTAGGACAACTAACCAAAAGTATAGAGAACAAATAAATGATCTTCACATGATTTTTATTCATTTAGAGAGAGCATATGATTTAGTACA